ATACAAACTAAATTCCGTTTGCTTTTAATTTGGTCTATCTTTCCATTTTTCTTAAGAAAGTCTCAAGAAAAACTCTTTCTGAATTATTCTTATACTAACTAGTACGTATCTACATTTTAGGAAGGATTTTCAAAGTAATAATAAGGCACATTAAACCTTTCATCTCCTATTCATTAGAATAAAATATATTAATAAGGTAAAAATTAATTTAATGTTTTAAAATAATTTTAAAATTTTAATTATAGAAAGCAATTTTATAATATATAAAATGGGACTTTTATACAGATATGTTGGAATTTAAACAAGAAGAGTTCAGAAAAATTTATTTAAAAAAAATTGATTCATAATGTTTAATTTATTTTAAGCAAGCTTTAAGATCTTAAAAGGAAAAAAAAAATGGGCAAACATAATACCAACAATTTGTATAAAAAAAACAAGTCAATTAAAAATGCTTTTAGGACATATTTACTCTCTTAGAAAGCTGATAAATTCTAGTTATCGATCAAATATTATGATGGAATTAAGAGCTTTGGACAAATTCTCATCTCTGATTTCATCGACTTACTGCTAAATCACTAAATGCAAACTTAAAGCTTTCAATTTTTTCTTACACTTCCTTTTTTTTTTGCTTCTTCAAGAAAGTCTCAATCCACTTTCTAAGTTATTTTCAGATTACGCAGATTGTTTCTGCATTTTATATGATAGGAGATGCTTTATTAATACATATTGTATTGTATTGTATTGTATTGTATTGTATTGTATTGTATTGTATTGTATTGTAGTGTAGTGTAGTGTAGTGTAGTGTATTGTATTGTATTGTATTGTATTGTATTGTATTGTATTATACTTTTGCTTATATTCTACTTTTGCTTATATTCTACTCATTTACAAAGTCATAGCATTTTTTAGCAAGGTGATAACAATGGATAGACTAAAGATATTAAGTCTTTAAATGCGTCTATCTCAAAATCAGATATGTTCACATTTTACACCACGCATTTTACAACACGATATCGTATGTTGTTTTATGAATAATTGTCTTCAAATTTTCATGAGTGCTTGTCATTAATGTTTTGAACTACAGACTGCGTGAAAAAAGGAAGAATTTCATTTTTTATTCATGAATTTTTCAAAAAAAAATTTATGGAAAGTTGTGAAAATTTGCGTTTTAACTACATTGATCTTTAAATCAGTAGTATATGTATTTACTTTGAAGATAATTGTTCAAAATATAGTTAATATCCTGCTTTTACATAAATTCCTCAAAATATTTTTCGTTTTAAGTGGTCGAAATTTATTTACAGTGTTTCGCGTACATGTAAAAAATATCTTATTTTTATCTGAAAATGGCCATTTAAAAATGATAATAATAATAATAATAGTAATTTTTTTTACACGTAATAAAACAAATAAACTAGTTTCTTTTAAATTTTACATTAATATTTAAAAAAAAGTTGCCAAAAATTGTCGGATAACTTAAAAATAGTTCATTATAAGTAATAAGAATTTTCCTCATAATATAAAAATTTCTTAAACTTAATCATTTAAATTTAAACCAGGAAACTTTAAAAAAAATGTGTTATTTTTATACATTAAATTACAACGTTAGTTTTATTTTAAATTTCGTTTTTACATTTTCATAGTTTAAAAGCAACCATTTATACAAAAATGTTTGAACTAAATTTCAAATATTTTTATTAAATTGAATTATCAAAGGATTTTCCAAAAAATACAAGTCAATAAGAATAGCTTTTTAGGAATATTTATTTCCTATTGTCTCCAAAACTACTGATATATCCTAATCATTTATAGAAATATCATCATGGAATTTGGAGATTATTCTTCAGAACTCTGAGTAAAGTTTTTTTTTTTATAATTCCATTTACTTAATGCTAAATTACTAACGCTCCTAAACTTGAAACGCTTGCTTTTATTTTTTATTCAATGTTGGAAATCTGAATCCAACATTCTAGGTATTCTTCAGTTTTTAAATACGAAGAAAGTTGCTGCAATTTTAAGTTGCAGGAGTTCCTTTTTATTATCATAAAAGACACATTAGCATTTTATTTTTCACTGCTTTTTTGAAGATTAAAAGAATTAAATGTCATATTAGTTGAATGTTTAAAAAATAATAAATAATTATGAATTTTATATTAATAAAAATCAGTTTTAGAATTCTCAAGTTACGCAATAATTTTAAATTGATTTATTAAATTAAAAAGGCTTTTTCATTCAGTATTTTGAGCAAATACTATTTTTAATGAAAAAAAGATTCAAAAATTGTTTCAGTGAATTGTAATTTCAAATTCCATTGCATTTAAAATGCTTATTAAATAAATAACATGGCATATGTTTTAATGTGAATTTAAATGTAAATGTTATTTAAATTAAAAATAAGTCCTGCAATTTGGAAGTTGTATAATATGATTTGCAAATAAATAGCAAACTTATTTGACTAAATACTTAATTATTTAAAAACAATGCTTTATTCTTTGCTTAATTGGATAATAGACGAATTTTGATTGCTGTTATTTTTAAGCAGTTGCATAACTAATAACATAGTTAGTAACACAATTCATACAAAAAGCTATTAAAGATTATTTCATTCCATTTAAATTCCAATTTTAATCCATTTAAAAGATAAATTGAATTAATAATTATTTTCCCATAATTGTAAAATAAAAAATAAATTTTGCATTGACTCAATCAAAAAATGAAAAGTGTATGTATTTGTTCAGATAATTTTAATAGTTAATTTGAAAATTAAAGTATTAAACATCTGATAAAAAAAAATATGGCGCATAAGTCGGACTGGAAATATATGTCATATCTGACGCTTCAAGTTTACTGTTGGGCTAAATAGATACCATATTAATGTTAAATTTGCTCATTAAAGTCTTTTAAACTTCCCTTTTTCTATTTGGACCCTTGCAACCCTTGTTAAACTGTCATGGCGGCAGAGCTTTGAAGAAATCACATGTTTGTGCAGATTTACGCATAATTTTTTGAGGAAAATAACTGAAATAAAGCTAATATAAAATGAGTTGTTGTTGTATCAGTGTTATTTAGATGCTTTCACTTTAATTTGAATCATAATTTAAATGATTTTGAAAGCTTATAATTTTATTATCATCTGCTAATGCTGGGGCACCAAAGATTCCACTAAAAAAACGAATGTGACATTGCTGTTCAAGAGCACAACAGCAAGAAGTATGTCCAGATTTTTTTTAAAAAAGCAATTTATTCATAATATTATAAATGGTAAAAAAAGCAATGTGCTGCCAAAGAAAAACTTTCTTTATTAAAAAATTACACTGAGAAAAAAATTTGGTCAAAACTTGAAAAAAAAAATGCTGAAACTTACAGTGTTTTTGGCTCTATGTGATCACCAAAAAGATCGGTAATTTTTGCCGAAGCGCTTTGGTAATGATTTTTTAAGATCTACAATAAATTGTGACTTTATAGTGTTTGATAAAATTCGGTAAATGTGGTAAAATTAGGTAATTTTATCATGATATTCAGAGCATGCTATAAAAACCATTTATTCGGCTAAATTTACTCTTCAGGTTTGTATTTTTTACTAAATGTGTGGTAATAAGAACTATAATTTTGAAAACCAGAAAGTTCGATAAAATATTATCCTATTCATGGAAAAACTTCAAAATGAATTTGTTTACCGCATATTTAGGTTTCATTAACCAGAATTATATTTTTTTACCAGAAATGTCATTACCATGTAGTACTGTAATTTTAATATAATGTTTTTCTTCGTGTAGAAATCAGTCTTGAATTGGTTAATGTAAGATAGTTTTAATTAGAGTTTTTCTGATTATCTCAATACAGAATTAATTCTTATTGGCAACTGTTGTTGAAATTTGGCATATCAGTTGCATGAATCACGGCTTAAAGACACGTTCAATGCAAATATTCGTTCAAAATCGACTATCAGTGTAAAAAAAAAGGTGTATACAAGAATCAAAAAAATATAAATTATAGTCGCAAAAACGTATTCAAAACGCCTTATAGTGACTTAAATTTCCGTAAAACGTAGGTATCAACGTATTTAGTAATCATCTTTTACAATTCTATTTGTCTTTTTAATTTATTTTCTTTTGAAAGCGGCTTCTGTCCTCTTCCAAGCATTGCACTTACTTCGTACTCCTCATCGAGACTAGATTTAGTAATCATCTTTTTCAATTCTATTTGTATTTTTATTTTAATTTCATTTTAAAGCGCTTTCTGTCCTCCTACTAGCATTACACTAACTTCTAACTCCTCATCGAGACTAGATTTAGTAATCATTTTTTTCAATTCTATTTGTCCTTTTAATTTAGTTTCATTTGAAAGTGATTTCTACCCTCTTCCACTCATTGCACTTACTTCTAGCACCTCATCGAGACCAGATTTACTAATCATGTTTTTCAATTCTATTTTTATTTTTATTTCAATTTCCTTTTAAAGCGGTTTCTGTCCTCTTCCTAGCATTACACTAACTTCTAACTCCTCATTGAGACTAGATTTAGTAATCATCGTCTTCAATTCTATTTGTATTTTTATTTTAGTTTAATTTTAAAGCTGTTTCTATCCTCTTCCACTCATTACACTTTTAACTCCTCATTCAGACTGGATTTAGTAATCTTCTTTTTGTCTGTAAAGCCATGGTTTAGAATTACTATATGGTAGGATCTATTAGCATTTCAAACCACCCATAAACATAAAAGCCCTTTTTTGTACATTAAAGGTTCATTGTCACCTGTCCATGTAAATATAAAGTATCTTATTTTTAATTCAGATTTCGTTTTTCTAACGTTTATTTTACTTTTGTAACAAATTTCATCATCTCCGATTCTTGAAAACGGATACTGAGTTGGTCTACGTAGGATAACTTTCATTGTTATTACCTTGTTTAGATTATTATGTTATATTACATAAAAATTACATGTTTTTATATTGTGTTGCTGTATAATATCAGACATAAAAGAGACTAACCATGCCCTTCATTGCTTTAATTTGAAGGTAAGTTATTTACACATCTTTATTTACATGACACAATATACATACAGTATTATACTTACATAATAACATAAAAATATGAAGGTTTTTATTTATTTTAAGACTTGCAACACACATAGAATTAAAAATACACACTGAATAGACTTTACTGGAATGTATATAAAATAAATACTGTAGGACTCTATATATACAGATGAGCATGCTTAAAATGAATAGGAATTCATGCTTTGTAAATGTACAGTAAGGAACAGATATGACTTTGTAAACTGATAGAAGGACAACACCAGAAATTCAATTATTTTCTTATAACCGAACAAGCTTTTAATAGAGAAAGCGTTTCCTTAAAACCTTTTTAAATATGAATTTTTTAAATAAATGTATTGCTGCTTCTTCCACACATACCATTATGACATTTTCTTGTTCATTAGTATTGTTTCTAGATGGGTACTTTAAATGTTTACGGAATTTATTTTAGATGGGAGCACTACACACATGAACATCTTACAGCCTACATGGAAATCGAGATGCTTTTCATCAAATTTAGTCTAGTGGAAATTTAAAATGTAAGAGTTATTATTATACCTGCCTCAAACTTGTTTTTAGTATATTTGAAAAATAAAAAGTGAAAATCCTAAATGAATTCAAGTGAAGAAATTATATCAAACTCAGATGAATCATTAATGATCCGTAATACCAAACCAGAGAATAAAATCATTAAAAAAACAATGCATTTATCCAACACTTAAATGCCCCGCAGTGGACTGATCGTAAAGACACGGTTCCCAGTAGAACACCAAAGTCAATCATCACTGGCTGCTGTCAGTAAGCGAGTGGGTGACCATTTTGATCAGCTTACCTAGTGACAGAGATTGGTGGTATCGGTCCTCGTTAAACTGTTCCACCGTAAAAAGCTTTACTTCTTGCGCTGGTCGCTATCAAAACGGGGACGACATCCCCTCCGCAAAGGATTAAAGTTGTGATGGCTTACTTCGGATCATCAGGGATGGTTCCTGACCGTCGCCAATAGCCCATTGTGCAGCTTTAGTGCATAAATAAAATAACGTCGTAAATAAAATACCTACCAGTGATTAAATAATATCAATTTGATTTAATACTTCCTGATATGGAGCAAAATAAGCAAAAATAAATTTAATAGTAGTTCAAATTTTTGATTGCATTTTAAATAAGTTATTTTGATCATATTTGCGACTACCCCTATATTTTGCGAATTAAGAAATCGTCCAAAAACGGCATGTTTATTCAGAGAAAACTAATTTTTGTAGCTTGAAATAGTGTCTACACAAATTACTTAGTATATTTAAGGTTAGTTTCTTATTACAATTGCACTTTAGTACGAGAAAATTATTTTAAAAGCGATTGGATACCGGCAAGCGACGTCACGCGTGGATAAGCCAATCAGGTTTGATACACATGCCGGACGTCACTTGCAGGTACCCAATTAAATCTGATTTGAAAATTGAAACAGCATAATAATAATCCAAGCCTTAAAGCAGTAGCGTCAACACACCATGAACAACCACGTGATTGGACGCAACAAGTGATTAGTCGAAAGAACCCAATTTAGTTATTCCATTCTTTTTTCTCCATTTCGCGCACATGCTTTGTATTGAAATTAATATTCAAAAATAGGGATTATTAACATTATAATTGTAAACAATGGTTCTTTTTTGTCATCAATAACGGTTTATTTTTATTTATGCAAAAGAAAATTTTGCGAATCATAAATTTATATTTGTTCATTGAAAATAACAACACTTTTAAGACATATTTTACGATTTAGTAAATATTGAGTTTTGATTTTAATAGCACTATATATGAATTATGATAGAGTCATTAATTTTCATTATAAATAGAATACATTTCATTATATTAAATTTTAGTTAAATATAGCTTTCACTACAGCCCATAAACTGCCATATAAATAGTTTAAATATAATCCCTTTTTCTACATAATAGTACCCATCACTTGAATATTTTTTAGGGATTAATGATTTTAGAAAAAAAAGCACTGTTTTGCATTAAAAATTGTTCAAAACAATCAATTTATTAGAAAAACCAATTTTTAAATTATCTTGAAAATAAAAAAAAAACTCAAAACTCTCCCCTTATATAGCATCTTCATGAAATATTTAAAATTATCTTACATCATTCAATAATAATAAATTTTTACATAAGGCAATAAACCAATTTATTTGTTGGAGGGAAAGCATGGTTTGTATATACATTCATTTAATTAGAAATCAACTTAATCCAACATTTTTTTAGCATGTAAATTATAATTTCGACAGGAAATGTTACCAATCTACAAGCAGTTATTGTTTTTAATGATTTACAACTTTTGCAGAAAGTTAGAAAGCTTTTCATCGCCTTTGGCAGTCTTTACCTAAGTTGAAGAAACTTTGATGACAGTATTTGATGTATTTAATTATATTGCTTTAAATGTTTCTTTTATTTTTCGTCTTCAGGCGCAATAATTCCTTATTTGTATCTTCTGCAGTTTCAAAAAGCTGTTCTAATTTTTTTAATGGTTCTACAGATAGCGTTTTTCTTCTAAGTCACGTGTTTTCTTTTTTTTTTTGGCATATTCATAGTGTAACAGATGTTTTTAGACTGTTATACTGTTTTTCATTACTACTAATATTCATTTTATATTTCCGAAATCATTCCTTTTCTTTAATTTGAGAAGAAGTGAAAAAAGTGTCGGAAAAAATGCATTCTAGCACATATTGTGACTATTTTTTTCATTAGATCTGAAATCTCGTTGAATATTAATGTAGGATTTATATAAAGTGATTTCATTGTATTAGCTTTGAGTAGAACAAGATGGATATTTTTGTACATTAAAAGCCATAAATCTTATTTTTTCTGGTCTCTAAAATAGCATTTATTTGTAAGGAAGTGTACAAAGTGAAAAACATGGCAACATACTTTAAAATAATATGGTGGAGTTGTTGTTCATAGTTTGCCGCCAGAAGTTCGCTTGAATATCTTCTATAAAGGAAGTAATAAATTTTATTAAATTGTATGTACACGTTTATTTAAAAATAAGAGAGTAACATGCAAAACATGTTTAAACTTGATTGATGTCCCAAAAGGTTTTCATATTTATTTACTTCATAAAAGTATAAACCATAAAATATGTGAAACATTTATATATCATATCACTATTTTATGTGGTTATTTCAGCTTTTCTATTTGAAACAATTTCAAGAAAATTTGCAGATTCGAGTACTTCTGTAAAACTTTTTTCCATCTCTTTATAGATACAGTTGGACAAATTTATATTTACAAATAAATTGCGTCTTATGCTTGTGTTAATTGTGTAGGTTAAATAATATGCGTTTTATTTATTTACTTATTTCTTATTTAATAGTAAGATTTGATTTATCATTCATAAAATGTTTCAATATATATTAATTTTTCAGCAACAATTTATTACAAGAACATAAATTAATGAGACTGGAAGGTGAATAAAGGAGTAAATTTTCGTAATATTTACTAAGTTGTTAATAAATTTTGAAATTCTTGGCTTCATACAATAATTAATTCTGCAAAAGCATTGCTTTAACGATTTTAACACAAACTAGCACAAAATGAGAACAGCTCAAAATGTTGCACAATTTAGTATCAGATGATATATTTTTAAGTAGATAAACGACGTTATATCAAACGTAAGAACAAAACATAAAAACTTATTTAAAACTTAGCCTTAAATCTTTGTTCTTAATATTAGTTTTATATTTAATAAATGAATAACAGAATGATGCCCTCTACGGCAAAGCATTTGAAAGTTAACACTGTTTTTGCGAAGCTGTTTTTTGTGCCTTGCAATGTGGTGATTTTAAACTAAGTATGCATATAATCTTACCGTAAAGAATTATTTGGGCTTAAAACAAAAAAATAACTTAAATATTTTAAAAGTTATTAAACTTTTTTAAGTTCGCCCATTCGGTGACATTTTCCCACCTAGATGGAAATTATCAAAATCTCTACCGTATTCTCAGCTTCTGCAAATTTTTATGAGCCCAGGTGCATCTTCATCCTTCGATATGCATCCTTCGACAAAATTAAACCACAACCGCTTTTCATTTACAAAAACTTTATTGACATTTTGTGCCATTTTCAAAATAAGCATAGACAGCGATGGCTTTAGCTAGGCTATAAACTTTAGCCTACCGTCATGATTAGCTGTTGCAACTCCTTAGTAGTTATAAAAATAGCAAATTATTCACAAAATAGCATCATATCATATGACGATAGATCCTTCGAAGAACAGCCTTAAAGAGACTTGCAATATTCCTAAAATATGCATAAAAATTTTCAATTGAGAGTGGATGAAACAAAAAAGTTTTTTTGGGTTCACTTAGAAATATTTTCGTCCATTAGTGCTTGTTAAATAGGTTTTTGAGATTGCTTGTGCTCTGTGGAAACTGTCTCGGTACATGAAAGTTCAGAACTACATCTGAGACAATGACTATTTAAATTACAAATTGTTATTATAAATGTTATTGTTACACAGGGATTTGATTTCAAAGGATACATTATTTCAGAGAAACATTCATAGTATGTATTTAATAATTAATTGAAAATTTAATTACCTATAAATTTCAATTTATTTAAGTTATTTTACACTTCAAGAATATAGCAATTGATGGAACTATATTTATAATAGAAGAACATTTGATATGAGTGGTATATTAATTATAAGCTCAAACTCAGCTTGAAATTACATTTAAACACCCTCCATCTAATGACATAAGTTAGTAATTAAATTTCAAACAATTAGAGATAGTGACGTTCAATCCTGTTGAAATCTTTTGTGCTGAGAAAGGTCATTTTCAGCGATGCAATCAACATAGACATCTGTAAAGTCGGTCTTTCTACTTTAGACAGTCTATTTTAAACTCCTCTTATAGTATTTGTCATTATAGTAGGTGTCTGAGTTTCAGTTTCTGTCACGCACAGGAAACAGAATGATTTGCGGAACTCTCGGCGAAACTTTCCTGTTAAAAATAAAAAACTAAATTTACTAAGTTCCATGATATATTTAGCTAATGCTTTAAACAATACAAGTGTTAAATAATCAAATATATAAATACATCTAGGGGTTTTAGACTCGTAAACATATTTATAAATAACAAGCCTTTAGGCATATTTATGCGTTAGAAGTTGTTAAAAAATTTATGAGTAGGTGTCTGAGTTTCAGTTTCTGCCACAAACAGGAAGCAGAATGATTTGTGGAACTCTCAGTGAAATTTTTCCTGTTGAAAAAAACAAAACAAATTTCGACGAAAATTTCGAGATTTTTTTCACTGTCCATATTTGAACTTTAATACATTAACTTTATAAAACCCTTTAATATTTGATCTCCGATTTTTAGAAATGAAGTTTTAATAGTTTTTGCGTATGCTGATAGACAAACCCGAAACCGGAAAAATATATTCCCAAAACTAAGGTGTTTTTTGTTATACTTTGAGTATTATAACATTTTTTTTGAATAAATTATGTATTTTAAACAAATAATCTTTTTCGTAAATAATTAATTTTTGAATTATAAATTTTTTATTGCTATCAAAATTTTCTTGAATCTGAATTGTTTCTTTTTTTTCATTTTAAATGTCTTTTGTGAAGAGCGTTCATTTTTAGAATTCTTTACGCATTACGTACATTACAAAAAAGCTTTATTATACAATTCTTTGAAATTTTGAATGCAGATTTTGTACAATATTAGCAAGGTTTTTGAACTAGAAGCTAAAGTCTAAGAGTGAATTTGTTATTTTTATCAAGTTTTAAATAAGAATATTTAGAATTTTTCTTTAATATTAGTTGATATACTCGTATTTAGTTTTACTACATTGTTTTGAATTTGCTTAAGATTTAGTTCAAAACACCACAGGTAATAACAGTATTAATCTGGGGAGAAAATATATATTTTGAAATATATGCATTATAATTTGACGTAGAGCTATTGGCGCGGCAAAAAAAAATTTGATTTTAAAGCTCAAATTCGCTCTAATTTCGGACAATATTCCATAAATTTTTAAGCTTTGTCTTAAATTTTTAAATTGAGAACCTCTGCTTACCAAACATAAAATTAAAACTTTAATTAAGTCCGTTTTTTATTTTTTTTAAAATTATGTCGAAACCTGTCGCATACCTTAAAGTGATAATAGAGGGAAAAAAATTGTATTTCTATAATTAAATTTATTATTAAAAAGTCACCATTCATGAAATTGTAGATGATAGGATTTACAGCACTGTTAGCGTAACAAAGCCAGTGTGACATCAACGATGCTACTGTTGCCAGTTGTGTTTGTGGTAAGCCGACAGTATACCTAAAGTACAAATAAAATTCCATAATTATTATCTAAACAAAGTCTATGCAAAAAACACAGAATTCTTTTTTAGTTCCAGATACTTTTGTTTTATAATCGTTAATAAAGGGGAAAACTGAATATTCATTAAATGAGTATAATTACAGCTAAATGTCCAAATGTACATAATTTGTGAGGTTGTTACTGTTTCTAATTGCGCTTGGATAAGCCAAACTCACCATCCATTAGCCCTTTCTATACTAATTCATTTTGTAAGGTTAATATAAAACAATTTAAGTAATAATTTCAAAAATTTTAAGTAAGTATTAAATTTAATAATGTTAAATAATAAGCAATACCATATTTTTTTTAATATTGATTTAGTAAAGTATCCTAGGTAATAATTTAAGTTTAATTAAACTATTAGTTATACGCTAAGTATTTGTTTATTTTGTTATGTTGTCTTATGTGAGAGGTTAACTAGTGTGGAATAGTTAGTAATATGTTAAGTATTTATTTAGAATAATTTTATATTTTTATAGAAACAAAAATTTTGACACGAAGTAATTATTTAGATTTAATTTTGCTCCTTTCTATATTGGCTGTAGAGATTTTAAACATACACGCTGCTATGGAGCTGCGTATTTTGCTACCATATATTGGTGACGGAGCTTGTCTTTTTCGAGTAATAGCATATATATTACATGATACGCCAGTTATGGTTCGAGTGGTGCGTAAGGAAGTAGTACAGCACGTAATGGAGAAGTGGAATGAGTTATCTTATCTCACGATATAGATGAAAATAATTTTAATATTTTTGCTGCCTACTATACAGAAATGTTCAAAAATTATACTTATGGTGGTTTGTGGGATGTAAGGGATGCCGTGCCAATTTTAAATTGTTTCTAAAATTCATGAAATAAATTGTTACGAAACAAGTAGTTAAATAATATTAATGATGGTCAATAGCTTACCTAAATTAAACCTTATTTCAGTAACATTTAAAAAATATTATTTAAAATAAAAGATGTTTCGTTTTAGTCCCTACATCTATTCAAAAAACAAATTGCAGCAGTTTAAATATTATGTTTTAAACTGTACATAAAAATGATATCGACAATTTAATAAACAAAGAAATGACATTATCAGTTTCTATAAATGTCATTATATCAAACAGATCTGTAAATCTACCATACATCAATTAAATTACAAAAGTAAAAGACTTTTATAAAATTGCAAAAAAAAAAAGAAAAAAAAACTTTACATTTCGGATTTAATTTTGTTTCAGTTAAACTAAATTAAAAAAAAATAAAATAAAAATAAAACATACAAACTTAAAACAGAATAAATGTTTGACTGAAAAACATTAATGTATTTAAGTGCGTAATCTTAATTACTGAACTATGCGTTAACTTTTTGCATAGCAAGTGATAAGCAAAACTTATTTTATTCAAATAGCAGTATTTATTTAGTGAAGAAGCACATGAATGATAAAATATGTTTGCTACGAGAAATGTCATTTAATTTCATCTTCAAATGCATTTAAGGATTCATTTCCGAATTCGATGAAATTGTTTTTTAAAAAAATTGCTCATTTATGAAGAAGATAGTAATTACTTTCGCTTTTCCTTCAATTTCATTGAAGATGCCTTAAAAGATAGAGCAGCTTTCAGGAATAATTAGCTTCGCGTTGGGAGAAAAAGAACTATTTTGGGTCAAATAAAAATTAAAAAGCTGCGAAGCGTGAAACAAATGCATAATTAGATTCTGCTAAAAGCAGCTGAATATGCTTAAATAAATTGCTCGAAAATTAAAATTTACATCTTATTTCTCATTTCGAAAGTAGCAAAAAAATATAGTGTCAGTAGGGTTTAAAATTATAAATAATTGTGTTTAAATTTGGTACAGATCAGCATATTGGAATTTATCGTTAGATCCTAGCTGATTGAGAATACTTATTTTGAATAAATTGCTTCAGATTAGACTAACTACGTAGTTCTGGAATAAAACACAATAACTTAAGCAACTAAATTATCTTCTCTCACCAAAATAATTTTTATGTACCGAAATCATTGATTTAGTTTCATCATTTCATCGTGATGGCTGTATAATTTGGATTTTTCATTTCTACTGTAATAAATATCCTATTCGGTTTTGTTTTCTTTCTAATTTCGTGATTGTTCGTTTTGCATATGCTTCTTTACTATTTCCTAGATCGAATTTTTTCTATTTGTACCCCAGTGACAGCCCTATTTAGAAAAATTCTTTTTGATAATTTTATTTAAAAGTAGAAATGTAAACAATGGATAAAATTCTTGTTAAGTGTGTAGAAAAAGAACTCGGATGGAGTTATTGCATCATAGAATAGATGCAATAACTCTATCCGTTTCTCTAACTCTATTCCTTTTTCCTTTGCTTCTTTATTATTTCCTAGATCGAATTTTTTCGATTTGTGCCCTAGTGACAGCCCTATTTAGAAAAATTCTTATTGATAATTTTATTGAAAAGTAGAAATGTTAACAATGGATAATACTCCTGAATAGGTTGTAGAAAAAGAACTCGGATAGAGTTATTGCATATAGAATAGAAGTTAACCTATTTCTTTTTAATCTGTGTTCATATTTTTTTGCTTACAACTTTAATTATCAAATATTCTATTATCAAATATTCTATATCTATTCGGCTATTTTATGATGTTAAGAAAAGACCTGTTATGTTAGAGTTGTTTAAGTAAGGAAAACGATAGTATGAAATCGATTGTTTGCTCCGTACCAAATCGTTGTGCAGTGCGTAAAAAAATAAACGGACCACCCTAAATTACTTTTGATCTAATGATTGGATATTTCCGTTCAACTCCTCAATGGTTCGAAGGGGTGACTTTAAATATTCTAATTAATTAGTGCAAACGATATTTTAAACTACGAAATCAGATACAAAAGCGTGTTTTCTTTGAATAAACACATCTTTTTTCTGTAGATTTGGATTCCTGGCCATAGTTTGTCGTTGATTTCCAACCCTTTTTTAGTATGCGTTTGCTTTTTATTGTACAACAATTGAACTCATTATTTCAAATGTAGATTTTATTAGAATTTTTTATTCGTAGAATATATAGATTGAAATATTCTTGTAACTATTTTAAAACATATGGTTGAGTAATGATATTTAAAATAATTTACCTAAGGGTATTGATTAGATGTACTGGCAAGTAGCACAAACCAAATAAAGCTACCACTGCTATGATCATTTTAGCAGCTTTTCTTCTGCTCCTTATTTGGGACTCAATTCCTGATGATGAAGATGAAGATGTCGCTGTAGCAGATGTTAAGCTTATGTTTCCGTTACCATTACTTCGCACAACAGCTGAAACAATGAATTTTTTAAAAAATTTAACAAAGTTGCCCTCTTTAAAACTTATTTAATGATTTTAGAAGACATTGTTTGCATGATACAGTCAGGGCCGTTTTATCCATTAGGCACTGTAGGCAACTGCCTAGGGGCCCCGCCACGTTCAGGGGCCCTGTGCTACAGAGAAAAAAATTGACAATGTTTCTTAAACAGTAAAAATTTAATTCGAAATTTCAATGACGATTGTCTTGCTCTGTACATTACATCGACGCTATTTTAGTACATTTCTGAACGCATTCCAAATTAGATATTAATATTATGGTAGTTAGTTCATATATAACGCAGTAATATAAACGCAAGCAATTTTATCGCGGTAATTTTAACGACGACTAATCAGATGACTATACAGCTTTTTTAACACAACATGCTTGAAAAACGAAACTTTTCCAAATTGAAATTAATTAAAAACTGTCTTCGTTCAACTATGTCTCAAAACCGTTTAAATTCATTGGCCATAATGGCAATTGAAAATGATGTATTGGAAAAGGTTAACTTTCAGGATGTCTTGAACGATTTTGTAACAAAAAAAGTTAGAAGAGTTAATATTTAAGCTTATTGTATGATTTTTTTTAAATGCATATATTAATTACTTATATTCTTTTCGTTTGATTCAATATTTTTATTGAATAATGTGATAATATACTTATGTAGTAAAAAACAGCGTAATTATGAATAAAGTGTTGTGTTAGCGAAAAAATATATTAGGAAGTTAGAAGATGGTAGGGGGGGGGGCCGAGACGAGCATTGCCTAGGGGCCGCGACATGCATGAGCCGGCCCTGGATACAGTCATAAAAAAGATTATTATCACTCGTAATCAACAAGTGAAAAAAAATTAAAGCATTCGTTAAACGCTTTTGCATGCAGCAAGTGTTTACAGATTCTAGTTCACATTAAAAAAAATTAATATTACTAGATTAAAAACGTCTTTCGCTACAGAAATCTACAAGCTGAAATTAACAGTCATGTTAACAGACATGTTTCAAGCACTCAGAATCCGGCGTTCATTTTCAAGACTTCCCAGACATGAAAGAGAAGAAAGAAAAGTGATTAGAAATATAAAACGTAAAGTTGCCGACGAAAAATTGAAAAAATGAGGGAGAGAAATAAAACTGGAGAACCAGAGTAACCGAGAGAGAAAAAAAGAAGATAAACAGACAAAAAAAAAAAAAAAAAAAAAAAAAAAAAAAAAAAAAAACACATAGGCCGAGAGAGACAAATCAGTGTTCTCATCATCATTTTTTTCTCGGCTATCGTGGTTTTTCTAGTTTTGTTTTTCACCTTTATTTTTCCATTCTTCTTTAGCAACTTAAGGTTTTTTTTATATTTCAAATCCATTTTGTTTCTTCTCATTCGCGTCCGTCAGGTTTTGTAAATGGGCGCATATTTTAAAGCGCTTGAAACATTTTGACTGTTATTATTTTTGAAGCGAATGAATTTCTTTTATCAGGTAATATCATACCTCTTCAGTTTCTTGGGATTATTAACTTAAAATGAGTACTCTTTATTTTTATTACAATTATATTCGAAAAATATATTAAGTTTGATAAAATAATAATTTTCCATATTATGAAAAAAATTATCCAATGATTATAAGAAAAGTAAAGTTTCATAATGTTTTTATTTATGTTAGTGGCCTTTCAAAAATAAGCATATAAACATAATCCTTAAGAATATTTTTATAATTTTGGATTCAGCTTCCTCCTTGTCGTTAAAATAGGCAAATCCTATACCCCTCCTTGCTTGCGTAATAAAGTTTTAACTACCGTATTTGGCTTTGCTTTAAATTTGACTTTCAATTTGGAATAGTATTCTAATTTTAGGATTTAATTCAAGGATTTAATTTGCTTGAAAGACGTTTTAATTAATTTTATATAACTTTGAATGGAATATTCTTTAGGTATCTTTTGTGTTTTTTTGTCTTGTATTCAAAATTTTTGACCCCTGAAGCTTCTAGAAGAATTTTTTTCCACTATTTTCTTTTCCCAAATCAAAGTTTTATTCTAAATTTGAAATTTTTCTGTGCGTAATTTTTAAGTTTCATTTTTGTTTTGTTTTTGCTTAAAATACATTTTGAAAAATACGAGAACATTAATGTCTTACGTAAGCATTGCTCAACAGCAAAAATAATCAAATAACCTCTTTACCCCGTTTTGTGCTCACGTAATATTTACGCACTCTCAGAAACAAAACTTTGACTTTTGACGATTTCAGCAATCTATGAGCTGTATTTGGTTAATTTTCAGTATCATTTCGATCGTTTCGGAATCATTTCGGATATTCAGTATCATTTCGATTCGAAATCACGTGACTTGTGACGAAACGCGAACTCTCAAATATATATCGAAAATTTCCCCCCAATTCTAGACCTTATTATAGTGAATTGCGGGAGATCAACTAGAATGACGAAACAAGAAGGATGACTAAACGATCAAAAATAAAGAGACGAGACAAGCCTACCGAATGTATGGTAGTCGTGGAATTTGACTCGTACTAGAAAGACTCGGAATTCGAATCCCATTTCTGGCATGAGTGTAATCTATCTCTCTGTTTTAATGGTTGCTTTTGTGTTATTGGACGATATTGATCCACCTATAAGCCACCTACGCCGGGATAGCCTGATCGGTAGGAGGCTGGGCCCATGTCCGAGTGTTCATGGTTTCGAATCCCGCCAGTCGAAGACTAACCGTGTAGTAAAGTGACTGATGAACGTTAAGCCTGTCGAGTCGCAAAACTCCTCCATGTTCCCGTATCAAATCAATACCTCTGGGGGTACTGGATTGGAGATCGATCATTCTCTGATTCCGGTCAAAATTACGATCTGTGGATGAATGAATGGATGTATAAATGGGTCTGCCCTATAAACGGGTGCGATGTATGGTGTGGCAGAAGTCGAATTCTTGGCCATAGATGGCGCCACTGGAAAACGAGAACAATCGTACCCCCTCTGCCTAAACAGACATACGCCAACATAAACCACCTATTGCCCACGGTAAAGTGTTTATTAAAGTGTTTGTGATGCGTTAGGTACTACGAGATTTTTTTTGGGGGGTGAATAAAATGGAATGCCGAAATATTTATTTAACTTTGATTAAGTTCGTTTGCTCCAGGTTAGTTCCTTTGACGAAATTGTTGCTAGGAGCGTATCCCAGAAAACGGTTTTTGTCAAAAACGAAAAAAAAAATTCTTGATATTTGAGTATGGATTTAGAATGAACGACCCCTTTCTTGATATTTGAGTTACATATTTAGAGCACATTGCTTTGAAAAAACGTAAAATAAATGTATCGAACAATATTTATATTTATTTCACTTTTTTGAAGTTACTTTATTTCTAGAAACAGAATACTTTTGGCTTTCATGAGATGGGATTACCTGCTGCTATCTGGTTTCTGTATTCTGCATATTTTTGAAAGAACATGTTTAATATTAAATACTTGTTTTACTTACCCTGTCACTTAGAAATTATTATAGATTATCAGGTTATTATACGTATCCTAGAGTAAGAGTACGTAAATTAGAGAAACTAACTCGTTGTAATACTTTATACAAGGTGTTTCATAACGAGCGATTTTATTATATATTTTTAAAATTCTAGTAACAAATTAAGGGAAAAAAGCGTATACAATTGAGGTCAGATAGCTAGGAAAACACAAATTATCATATATGGCAACGTTACTTTTAAAAAGTAACGAGTAAAAGTACAAGTATTTTTAAAAAAAGTAACGAGTGAAAAGTAAAAAGTTCTTATTTTAAAAAGCAACGAGTAAAAAGTACAAGTACTAAACAAAAAAAGTAACGATTTAAAAGTACATTTCTAGGAAATCGAAAATTCAAAGTAACCTGAAATTTTATTGAATAATATTCTTATGTTCCTTAATGTTTTTGCAAAATTGTCGTTAATTATTTTTAATTTTGAAAGTTATGGACATTAATTTATTTTTATATTTGGAAGAATATTATAATATAATTTTATAATATAATCGTATAATATAATTTTACAATCAAATATAATTTTAATATCAAACTTTTTATGGATTTGAGAGAAAAAGAAATTTTATCTATTGATTTTAATTTTTAGTTTATTACTTTTATTTATTTAAATTACCACTGATTTAAAATTGCTTTACTCTATAGAAACGCGTTTTAAAAGCACAAACATAAACAAAGAAAACACGGGGTTTCAGATAGCTTTGTGATCTTTAAGCTAGTAAAAAATAAGTGAATGTGCAGTATAAGTTGAAACAGAACAGTTTACAGTTTTATTTGTAACAATGGCTAATGCTGAAGTCATGCGAGAAAATCATTTTCCGAACATTTCTGCCTAACGGAATAATTAAAATTTGTCAACGAGTTTTAGTATCAGTGCCTAAATTAATATCTTCGAGTTTTCAAGAGTTAAAATAGTAATTTAATTATAATAAACTTCAATAGCACAAGTAGTTCTGAAGTTCTTAGAGATTTCACTGGGCGTTGTTTGACAAGATCGGACATAAACATAATTTTAGTAAAAAATGTACTAGGTAAAAATGTATTTAGTAAAATATGTATTAAGACAAAGATGTATTATTAGTGAGTTCAAAATGAAAATTGAAAAACGTAATAACAAAATCCAACATTTTTTATTTAAAATGTATTAAATAAATGTATGAAACTCGAAAATGAATTAAAATAACTTGCTAATTAATATTTTTATTCATTTTGCAAAATAATTGCATTTCGATAGTGGTGTCATTGAGTCTGCTGCGAGAATTTCTCAGAACGTGCTTAGCCACGCTGAATAAGCGCTCAACGGGAGCACTGGAAGGTACTGCAGTATTATATTTCACATATAATTTTTATACGATTGGATATCGATTGGAGTTTTTTTAGAACGCTTACCGAGTTTTAGAAAAAATTAACGATTTCATTCGACATTTCCGTTACAAATACTCGTACTTTTTCCCTAAAAAAGTAACGAAAGTACAAGTAATAGTACTAAATTTAAAAAGTAACGAAGTACAAGTAAAAGTACGTACTTTTTACTTGTACCGGCGGTACAAGTAACGAAAGTAAAAGTACTGCCATATATGCAAATTATTGAACTCGAATTCGGAAAACAGGTCAAAACCTGTTTGACTTCGGAAGGAAACACAATAGAGTCTAATGACAATTATTAAAAACACCTCTAAATTTCTCCAAGCAATCAAATGAGTTTTAAAATTTTCATTCAGCTTTTATCATTAGCGATTCGATAAAAATGTTCAACAATTTGTTTTTTCATTTCTTAAAGAAGGAAATGAGAGCCTGAAAATGTTTACATTTTTTTAATAAGGTACCTGAAAAAATGTAATAAAGGCTCTGATTGTGGAATTTCATGCATGGTACTCAGTTAAAATAAAGTGTTCTGAGCATTAGTTTTGTGATAAAATGCCGATATGTTCATTTTTTTTAATGAAAAAAAAAAGTTTTTTTAAGTACTAAGAGGCTCTATCCCATGCTAGCTGAGCTCACCCCCCCCCCATGGTTTTCTTTCAACTGTCATCCATCTTTGTTTTTTTCCATTAAAAGAAAATTTTTTTCAAAACAAAAAGTTATAATGTTGTTTATAAAATTAATTAGCGATTTGCTTACGGCTGGTATAACCGATGATCCGGAATAGCAGGTACTGTAAGGTACCTTAGGCAAAAGGTTATTAATATAATTTTATGTAAGATTATTTTGTTCATATGTTAATCAAAACCAAAGGTATGATTACTAGGATTCAAAAGCAATCAACTGTACTCTATTCAAACTAAGGAATATCGAATGTGTGACCCAATAGAAAACAATAAAGGAGAAGTATTTTTGCTTGTTAGCAATCCACGACAATAACCCTTATATCACATATATACTCAAATTGGAAGCTTTTTTTTAAAATCTTTCTCGAGTTTTTATATTTGTAAAATCGATGTAAATGTTATGATTTATATCTGAAAGCATCTATTCTTTCTCCTACTATTTTTTATTTAATTTATTAATTCTTTATTGCTGCTTTTGATATCAATTCAAGCATTCAAATACGAGCTTATAAAATGAAGATCTTGAGAGAGATAAATTTTTCTGCAACAATGGATAAATAATCGCGTTAAATTCGCAAACAAAAATGGCCCTTTCAGCATGTCTAATTTAAACTTTGTAGTTGCATTTCTGCGATTTGAAGAGCGGTCCGCATGGTGTTTTTTGCTACAAGTTTAACTGCTATTAATTTTTGAACCAATTATCTAACTGATTATTTAATCCTACTCCCCATACTCCCCNGAACATTTCTGCCTAACGGAATAATTAAAATTTGTCAACGAGTTTTACTATCAGTGCCTAAATTAATATCTTCGAGTTTTCAAGAGTTAAAATAGTAATTTAATTATAATAGTCTTCAATAGCACAAATAAGTACTGAAGTTCTTAGAGATTTGACTGGGCGTTGTTTGACAAGATCGGACATAAACATAATTTTAGTAAAAAATGTACTAGGTAAAAATGTATTTAGTAAAAAATGTATTAAGACAAAGATGTATTATTAGCGAGTTCAAAATGAAAATTGAAAAACGTAATAAAGGAGACAACAATAAAGGAGAAGTAACAATAAAGGAGAAGTATTTTTGCTTGTTAGCAATCTACGACAATAACCCTTATATCACATATATACTCAAATTGGAAGCTTTTTCTTAAAATCTTTCTCGAGTTTTTATATTTGTAAAATCGATGTAAATGTTATGATTTATATCTGAAAACATCTATTCTTTCTCCTACTATTTTTTATTTAATTTATTAATTCTTTATTGCTGCTTTTGATATCAATTCAAGCATTCAAATACGAGCTTATAAAATGAAGATCTTGAGAGAGATAAATTTTTCTGCAACAATGGATAAATAATCGCGTTAAATTCGCAAACAAAAATGGCCCTTTCAGCATGTCTAATTTAAACTTTGTACTTGCATTTCTGTGATTTGAAGAGCGGTCCGCATGGTGTTTTTTGCTACAAGTTTAACTGCTATTAATTTTTGAACCAATTATCTAACTGATTATTTAATCCTACTCCCTGTACTCCCCACTTTTTGTACAACTCCATAATTTCAAGGTTTTAAGTCTAACTCTGTTAGCGCAGCGAAACAAAATATAACATAACACCCAAAGCCGTAAAAATAGCTCTTATTATTTTTGAAAAAGATTTTTTTATGTTTCAATACTAGTTTTTTTTAACGATTAAAACAATAAAATATTTTTAAAACGTTTAACCAATTTAATATAAAATTATAAATTTGCTAATGAAATTACAAAACATTTTACTGACCAGAAAGCAGCTGTGTTAATTATTTAAATTCTAACGTGCTAATTATTTATTTAAAGTGCAGATTTTAAAGTTTATTTTTTAACCAAGAGCACTTAAAATATTTTTGAAACATTTAACTGTTTCTAAAAGTGATACGTTTTAGAAACGTGATGAGAACGTATCCATCTGAGGCTTTTTTGTCCAGGAAAAAAATGCACTAATAAATTTCGAAAAAAAAACAACATTTTAAGATTAAAATTAATGTAAAATGTAACATTATAACACACAAAACAGCAAAAATAGCACTTATTATTTTTAAAAAAGAGAAAAATATTTTTTAGGTTTCAATGCTAGGTTATTTTTTCACGATTAAAGCAATAAAATATTTTTAAAATGTTTAACCGATTTAATATAAAATTATAAATTTGCTAACAAAAATTACAAAACATTTTACTGATCAGAAAGCAGCTGTGTTAATTATTTAAATTCTAACGTGCTAATTATTTATTTAAAGTGCAAATTTTAAAGTTTATTTTTTAACCAAGAGCACTTAAAATATTTTTGAAACATTTAACNTAATGAAATTACAAAACATTTTACTGACCAGAAAGCAGCTGTGTTAATTATTTAAACTCTTACGTGCTAATTATTTATTTAAAGTGCAAATTTTAAAGTTTATTTTTTAACCAAGAGCACTTAAAATATTTTTGAAACATTTAACTGTTTCTAAAAGTGATACGTTTTAGAAACGTGATGAAAACGTATCCATCTGAGGCTTTTTTGTCCAGGAAAAAATGCACTAATAAATTTCGAAAAAAAAAAAACAACATTTTAAGATTAAAATTAATGTAAAATGTAACATAACACACAAAACAGCAAAAATAGCACTTATTATTTTTAAAAAAAGAGAAAAATATTTTTTAGGTTTCAATGGTAGGTTATTTTTTAACGATTAAAGCAATAAAATATTTTAAAAATGTTTAACCGATTTAATATAAAATTATAAATTTGCTAATGAAATTGTAAAATATTTCACTGGCCAGAAAGCAGATGTGTTAATTATTTAAATTCTAACGCGTTAATTATTTATTTAAAGTGCAAATTTTAAAGTTTATTTTTGAACAAAGATCACTTAAAATATTTTTGAAACCTTTAACTGTTTCTGAAAGTGATACGTTTTAGAAAAGTGATTAAAAAGTATCCATCTGAGGCGTTTTTGTCCTGGAAAAATGCACTAATAAATTTCGAAAGAAAAGCAGAATATTTTTAAGATTAAAATTAATGAACATAAAAAAAGTTACCAGTCCGTATTTGTCGAGAATTAACTTCTGCACTCCCAGGTATATTCTTATTCCAGAGTACTTTGACGATTTGGTAGTAAAAGAATAACATAAACAGAAACGGTGCACAGTACAGGAAGAAAACAATTAGTAACTGATATAATTTGGTGTACTGATTGTTCCAAGTGTAGGTACAGTCTGTGAAGTATATGACGTCAACCTTGAGAGCAGAAACTTTTCTGGTGTCCATGACAATGGCATCTGGAAGGACTAAAAGAAAGGATGTCAACCAAATTATGATGATGGCTTTTTTGGCTCTGCTGGCTGTACTCTTGAATTTCAGTGGATGGCAAATAGCATACCATCGATCAATGGAGATGAATGTTAATGTCAAGACTGACACAGACACAGATACACTCTAAATAAAAAAAAACATCAAGTGTTAGTTCTCATAGTAATGATCAATTATTAATAATTACGTTTAGAGTATAGTCATTATTTTTATTGAAATAAAACATTGTATGTTGTAATGAAACATTGAAAAATAAAACGTTGTGTGTTGTAATAAAACGTTGATTTATTCAAATGAAACCGTTATTCAAATAAAACGTGGTTATATTTTTATTCAATTAAAATGTTATTTTATCAGGTGATCACATTAGTAATGTTTAGAATATAAATATTATTATTTTTAATTAAATAAAAACGTTATTCAAATAAAACGTTGCATTTTGTAATAAAGCGTTGTAATATCCAACGAAACTTTGATATATTTTTATTCAAATAAAATGGTATTTTATCAGGTGATTTTAAAAACTTGATGCCTGATTTAAAACATAATTCTCCAAACAAACAAAAAATCACTCCCTTACACTGAGGTAAAAAAAGGTGAAATCACCGTACTGCATGTTAATTTTATTTCTGTCAAAAAAACAATAATTCTGAATAAAATTTACGGTATTTAAATAATTCATTTGGTAATTTTTTCTTTTATGTGGTAACGGTTAACCTAAAATTTTGGGTTTAAAAACGTTGGGTCTTGTTAACACACACTAAGCTAAAAATACAAAACTAATAAGTAAATTTTACCGAACAAATGGTTTTTATACAATGCTCTAAGGCAGTGTTTCCCAACCTTTTTTGTACCATATGCCCCACCTAAGCCTTTCTAAAATTCTTATTTTTAATAAGGTACCTGAAAAAANGTAAATTTTCAGAACATATAATGAAAAATTCAAATTCGAAATAATTTTAATAAAGATTTTTCTATAATAATTTAATATTTTAATTTAGTGAGATTCTTGCCCTTGATGCTTGCTGCACGTAGATTTTATCTTAGGTTCCAATTTGGTTAGCTTCATCTCAAGTCTCCCCGTTGTGTTATATCCAGACGATTTCTTTTTTTTTACCAATAAAATCATTTACAGCACTAAATCCACATTCAGCTAAATATGAAGATGGAATCGGTAACAATAGTTTTCTTTGCACATTTGATTGAATTTGGGTATTTGTTTTTTGTTTCCTCAAGAAGCCATGCCATCACTCAAGTTCTTGATATATCAGACAAATCCACTAACATGGACTGCAACATCCATGTTGAAAAATAAATTTGTTTTGAATCAGAATATCTTTCTTTTAAATCAGCCGATAGAATTTTCAGATGATAGACAATAACAAGTAAAGCGGTATCATTTACTTCACATATTTGGAGCCAATGAAACTGTTCTAAGTTTTTGTTGTTAATATATTTCTGACGTAACTCAATAAGGATAATGAAGCCAAATATCTTCGCTTTTGCATCAACAAGAGTTTTATTTATTATTTGAAGTTTCTTATTTAATATATTCAGTTCTTCAAAGATATTGGCTAAATAACTCACAAATGATTTACCAACGACTGTAAACAGATACTTCATTTCAGGTTTGTCGCTTAAAAAATCCCTAAGTCACATAATATTTATTGACCGAAATTATTTAAGAATTTGCTTTTTTCTTTCGATTTTGTCACCGAAATCTCGCATTGCATTTAAATGGCCCAGAGCAAAAGGTTTAAACTCATGTTGAGTCCATTTTTGAATTGCCCTCCTTACAATCAAATTGCCCCATGTGGGGCGTGGGCCCCACGTTGGGAAACACTGCTCTAAGGTGTGAAAAAATTACCAAATTTTACCACACATTATAAAACTACATTTTATTGTTAATGCTACCAAAATCATTACCAAAGCGATTTGGTAAAGATTACCGAGACTTTTGGTGTTCCCATAAAACAAGATACACGGTAAATTTTACCATATTCTGGTGGTTTTGACAATACTTTTTGTGTATAAAAGCCCATTTTCCGTAATTTATCCTGAATTCTCATACATTCCGTAATCAATTATGTATTTTTCATCACTTTCTATATCTGCATCTCACTCATTATATTTAAAACTCTTACTTTATACTGAAATATTATACTCAATAAGGATGTAACGTTAGTTTGGATATCTTTGAAAAATTGAGTTTTTTTTTACTGTTGAAACTATTCTTCAAAGAACAGAATAAACGAAAATCTGAAATAGCGAGTTTTGATGAATACGGAAGATCATTCATTTGAGCGTATTATCCTTTGCAGTGTGTTATTAGTGATATGTGGTAACTAAAATGCCGAACAAACATGAAAACTGTGTTTGAATTCCAACATTAAATTAGTCAGTTGCTATCATACACATTTATAGGTTAGTCAGATTATTATGCAATCTATCAACATGCATAACAATGTTTTATTTACTAATCCTTTTGCAACTCATATGAAGGAGTTTTTCTATATCTAATATAATTAAGGACGGAGTTTTTTCTGTATCTAATATAATTAGGGAAGGAGTTTTTTCTATATCTAATATAATTAGGGAAGGATTTTTTCTATATCTAATATAATTAAGGAAAGAGTTTTTTCTATATCTAATATAATTAAGGAAGGAGTTTTTTCTGTATCTAATATAATTAAGGAAGGAGTTTTTTCTATATCTAATATAATTAAGGACGGAGTTTTTTCTATATCTAATATAATTAAGGAAGGAGTTTTTTTTATATCTAATATAATTAAGGAAGGAGTTGTTTTTATGTCTAATATAATTAAGGAAGGAGTTTTATCTATATCTAATATAATTAAGGATGGAGCTTTTTCTATATCTAATTAAGGAAGGAAGTCTTCTATATCTAATATAATTAAGGAAGGAGTTTTTTCTGTATCTAATATTAAAAAAACAGTCCTGTTAGATCAAATCAAATTTAGGAACCACTGATTCTGTAATATCAAAAAAAAAAGATTCAAAATCATTGATTAGAAATGCACGTTCTGTGATCAAAATTTTCATGAAGTTCTAGTGCAATTGAAAGAATTTGTATATAAAACTTGTTTAAAATTCTTACCTTGGAGAAGAAAAAAAAACTATAATACAGTTAAGTATGATAACTTTCTCTATTGAAAAAAATCATAAAACAACGAAAGACTGTAAACTATGTAGTTCATTTCAAATCACAAATATGACAAGTTTTGAGATTTTCCAGTCACAAGTAATTTAAAGTAGAAAATACTAGACTATGCTTATAGGCAGTGTAACTTTAAATTTGAATTTTAAAAATAAACAATTACGGCAGTATTGCTTGTGTTATAAAATTATAGTTCTGAAAATAATTACTAAATTATTTGTAAGGTTTACTAAGTTAAATTCTTATGTACAAGTATTTATTAGTAGAAAAGACTGAGTAATTTTAATTTTTTGAAACAAGTATTTAAAAAAAATCATCTGTCATCTGAAGAAATATTAATAAGTCTTAAAAAAAGTCATTAATTAAAAAGAAAATTAAGTAATCTTAGAAAGATAATTACTGGAACCAATATGGAGTTTTTCTGACAAACACTTCACTAGTAATGATTAAAAATATCGTTAAATGTATTTTTCGTCTAAGTGACAGGCGTTTTTATGTCTTAAGATGATATACTTGGAAATAATGCTATATTTTTTTTAAAAAAAAATGCTTTTAAATTTATGAAAGTATAATAACTTAAGCAATTCATGACAAACAATATCTTTGGTTTTAATTTATCTCATTTTCTTCCTACTTAAGTCAAAAGCACTTGAACTCATTTAGTGAAAAGAAGGAAAAAATTAAACTTAAGTTGGATTATGTTATTTTAACTAATTACTGGTTTCGGATGTTGAATAGTACAATAATTATGAAAAAAGTAGCAAAATTACAAACAACATACACACATTTTATTTTAGGAATCTTTTTTTAGAAAATTTAAAGCATTGCGATGAAATTAATGAAATATTTTATTTTTCATATTTATAGAACTAAAATTTTCTTACTTGCTGAACTTTTATATTTATAACTTATTGAATAGAAGTATTGACGGAGCTTCAATCTTGATACTGTGGAAAGAAGCTTTTTTACGGCACTTAATCTTTATTCTGACGGGATGAACTACTAAAAGCGTATTTTACTAAATATAGTAACGTGGTCATGGTGGCTCAGGGGATAGAGCGTTGGCCCCACAATGAGGTGATCCAGATTCAAAACCCAGCGGAGGCTAGTTGATACGAATTCTGCTCCCGGCTAGGGCCGACCACATAACTAATGTAAAATATTCTCAGTGTTAAACGAATCATAGGTTAAAGTCCCCTTGCCGTCAAGCTAACAGTGGTAAGTTTTTCACGATTCTTCTCCCCATGTAACACAAATGGAAATCTGAGTTAGTTTCATCAGAAGTACACCAAGTAGGCAAACGTATTCGTTTATATATATATATATATAAATATATATATATATATATATATATATATTTATATATATATATATATAAACGAATACGTTTGCCTANTAAAATTAAAAAAGTTTCTGAAACTCCTCTGTAGCGCGAAACAAATATTATATAAAATAGTTCTTTTTGCTTTTTTTTTTTGCTGATTGAATCTAACAGATTTATAATTGAAAATATTATTGTCAATGCTTAAATTATTCGAAAATAAAATTATTTTAGTTAAAATACATGGTAACAATTTTTACCCAATTAAATTAAATTTTTTTTCTTTCTTTTAAAAATATATATGCATAAAATGCTTTAAAAACTAAGTAATAATGATAAATTTATCAAGAAATTTATTAAGTATTTCAAAATAGTAACAAAATACAGTAATTCATTGGAATAAAAAGGGATTTTTTCAAAACAAATACTCGAAGCGTTGCCAAAAATGTAGAAATGCTGTCTTCCTGTATGCATTTGACACCAAACTTGAAATATTAACCAGCCAATTTCATTTTCTAGACAAAAGTGGAAAGTGCCATTTCTATACACGACACGGTGGATTCTGTAAAAAGAGATGCATCATCTCACATTTATGTTCAACACCTTTTCATTTTGAGCTGATGTAGA